GTATCACCATCATCATAGGCTGGGAAGCAGCGCAGCGGAAGATCTAGTATCAAAGGACACGTGGACAACAACATGAAAGGGAGAAACTTCGGAAGGGCAAGACACCAGAAAGATTGCCCTTCCGCTCACACACATGGGGARAGATCCATARAYATGYGAGAGAGAAGGGGGAGGGACATAGAGGTAGCCAAGTCCAACCCAAGTCTGATCTCCGAATGTCGCACACAGTTCAATCCCAATGTAGAGTGTAAGCCCGATCTGAATGTCGTGTCCAATAAGGCAGAAGGCCGTGTCCAAACAATGTCTGCAGTTACCTCTATCTCTACTCTGATAAAGAAGAAGAAGAAGAAGAAGAACTTCGGAGGAGGAGGAGAAGAGGAGAGGAGAAGAAGAAGAGGAAGAAGAAGAAGAAGAAGAAGAAGAAGAAGAAGAAGAAGAAGAAGAAAGCTGGGTGCTTTCTGCACTTACCTGGCGATGGCTGAACTTGCAGGTACCGCGGAGCCAGCTATGGCGCTGGGCAGGTAAGTCCTCTTCTCTCTCTCTCTCTCTCTCTCTCTCTCTCTCTCTCTCTCTCTCTCTCTCTCTCTCTCGCTCTCTCTCCACTACCCTCCTCGGCGCTGGACTCCTCCAGCGCTGTGCCTCATGGCCGATGAGCAGCGCAGCTGCAGTCTCGAAATGGCGCAGCAGGGAGTCTCTAAAATAGCGCAGCAGCCAAGTTCCTGAACCAGCATAACGCTGGATTTCTCCTGGTACCTTCTGTGTCCGAACTGGGCAATGGCCCAGCTTAAGTAGTGCTGGGCCAGGACTGAAAACCCACGGCCTGCGTTCTGGACTGTGCAGATCGAAACTCCGATCCACGGTCCAGATCGCAGGCTTCGAAAACCGGTTCAGTCCTTGGCCTAAAACGGCCTGCCTGGGTCCCTACCGGACGTCCAGGCCCTGTCCAGGATTAATCTTCCCGGTACCTGGCTTCAAACCGGTCCTGTGCGGATGTACCCGGCCTCAACGTCGGCCTGGGTTCGAACAGGTCAAAATCTGTTCGAAAACAAAAGAAAAGGTCCAAACGTTTTTAGGAGCTCAGCCTCTGGGCCTGAATCTGGCCCTGGCCCTAGAAGCGTGTACCTGGCCACAAAACGGACAACAGTACACCCGTTAGAAAAACAGCAGCAAAAAAAATAAAATAAAGACTATAAAAATAATCTAAAGCTGGCGTTTTTCTGATGCAGGCCCAAGTAAAAATGCCATAGGGCCTTCAGGTTGCGGTGACGCGACCTGGGGGCCCTATTCCAACCTCGGGTCCCGTGAGGGGCCCGTGTGTAGGCTTTCAGCATGTAACAGCGCCACAGCGTGGCCGTGGCGGGGTCCACTTGTTTTTTCTAAAAGGTTAGAGGGCCACTCGAGACCTGCTATTTTCCCACTCGGCAAAGGTACTAGTGGTTTAACGCCAAGCTCTATAGAGATTCGGCCAAGGCTGTTGCCCTTTTTTGGAGAAAAAGATCCGGCCAGGCTCTAACAAGATCCGGCCAGGCTCTAACAAGACACGGCCAAGGTGTCCACTCCCAACTTTGTACGCTTCGGAAATAAATTATGCCGCTTCGTGTCTGAATACCAGGAAGGCATTTTTTGTGTTCCCTGATTTGTCACGGAAACCGCAACCCAGTGGTGCCTTTCCCTCTTCTCTTCTTCCCTCGTTACCCTCCCTTTGCTTCTACTCTCTGCCTCCCCCCTTCCCAATTGCATCTTAACCTTTCTGCCAATCTTTCTGTCGATGTTTCTGCCCTCTCCCAACTCCGAACTCCCCCTCGCTCATCTCTCTGTTTCTCTTCCTCTTGGTCTCATTTAACCCCTCACCTTTGTCGCCCATTTGCCCTCTTGCCCTCCTTTTCCCTTACCATGTTGTGCTTTTCCTTTCCGTCTTTCCTTTGGTTCGCTTCATCACATCTCTTGTTGGTGACTATCCCAGAATTCCGTCTTCCACTCCTTACCTCTGTCTATTCCCTCCATCGGTTACCCTTTCTTCTCCCTCCATGTCGATCTCCTATCAGCTTGCGTGTATCCCTATCTCCTTTTGGTTTTCCTCCCCTTTGATTCCACTCCCTTTTCCATTCCCTTCTCCTCTGTCCGTTCCCTCCATCCGTTGCCCTTTCGTCTCCCTCCATTTCCGTCTAGCACCACCTTACCTATATCTCTATCTCCTTTTGCTTTACCTTCCCCCGATTCCTCTTGCCTCTCCATCTCCTTCTTCGCCTCTTTTCTCTTTCCATCTTCACCCTCCCCTGTATTCTTTCACAGTCCTTTCCCTCTTTCCCACTCTTCCTGTGTCCTGGCCCTCCCTTGCTCTGCCTTCATCTTCTGGTCTTCAGAATAGAACAAGATGGGCCAGCGCAGCTTCGCCCGCGTAAGTAAGGGGTACTAGTGTAAAATAAAATAGACACATACTATTTAAAAGAGGAGGGACCAGGAGGGTTCCGCTGCGCACCAAGCTTTGTGCAGAGACCTAATCGCATATGCCAACGTAGTACAGCCCATCCTAAGATATGTTGGAAGCACAAAGCCACTGGTGCCCTCATGCATTGAACCGCATATGCAGCAGGTATAATATTTAGTGGGAGTGACCTTCACTTATTTATATATTAAGGCACCAATAAATGTCAGACAAAGTTCATGAGAAAAGTCCCCATTGTTCGCCAAGCTCTGATGCAAGCGTGACATTTTTTATTCGGATTTGGCCGGTGGCCGCAAAAGTTTTGGTAAGGTCGCACAGGTCTGCGTTTATTTTTAGACAGGCTCAGTTGAATTTGGCAACACTGTTCGGACGATGGACCTCGGTTCGCTACTGTTCACATCCAAGAAAAATGGGAAAATATTGACAGCGTATCTTTCCAAGTTATAGCGGACAATCCATTATCATTTTGCACATTTCTAAAGCAGTGGAGCGAGGTCCCATGGCAACGTTATATTATTTATTTATGTCATTTACGCAACGCAATGCTTTGGTGGCCGCCAATTTCCCAATTTACATTTCAATATGATGTGTTGTTTTGTACTCTTGTACAGGATCCGGTTGCCGACTCATGACACAGTTTATCTGCATGACATATTTGCTGAAAAATAAATCTCCCCGTCCCCATCTTCTTAGTAAACAAATGCTTGGCAGTCCTACATATTTGATAGGTGTCTACTGGTTATCGACCCCCGTAATTTATGTAAATTCTCCCAACGTTGACAACCTTCCAATGGAATGAGCTTCCACTATCCGCCTACTCCACAACTATTATGTATATCGCTATCAAGTATACGACTGTCGCATACAAACGGCTTAAGACCATCATTCTGCACTTGATAAAGTTTAATACGTTCCTTTGGACGGCGTCCTCCTTTGTATTGCTGCACTGATGGATAAGTTTAATACGTTCCTTTCGACGGCGCCCTCCTTTGTATTGCTGCACTGATGGATAAACTGGACATCCAAGTTTTCGCACTCGTACAGTTTAATACGTTCCTTTCGACGGCTTAGAATAGAATGTCGGTCGACCGTATATTTGAACACAGAACAGCTCCCTAGGTTGGATTCGAACCAACGACCCAATAGATAGGGTATAAGCAGTGTGTGTGATGTGACTAAGCTTCCCCCCGAATCATGCGTGCAAGATTTCCAAGCACACGGCTCTCCATCAGTTTGGCAAGACTACTGACTGTTTCCCTTCCATTTTCATGTACTATGGAAACTCTGACGCCACACTTTGATTACTCCTGAAGGTAGTTGCATTGCTAGATATGAACACTCAATGGTTGGCCAGAAGCTAGGAGTTCCGTGTGCTGGAGACAACACACAGAATGGTCTCGAGGCTGTCCGTCTTCACAAGTTTCCATTGGAGAAGGAAAATAAAAAGTCAGCTATTGCTCTTCTATGATCCTGCCTGGTTTTGTCCTTTCCCTTCACCGGAAATGCATTTGTAGATCGGTCACATCCAAAAGTACTTTATCAAGTCCTGGGTGATGCTCCAAAAAAAAGTGTTTCTTCCCTTAGCATCTGCCGTCTTCACCCGAGTAATGTTTGGTCATTATGGCCGCATCGGGACTGAAAGCTGCTCCAAATGCGGTTATGATGACTGGGCCTATTTGGGTGAAGACGGTAGCACCGTGGAGTCGTCTCTGACGGCAGTGGAGTCAGTGTTGGACAGCAGTATTACAGCCACTGGAGAGATGCTTGTGATGGATGTGGCTTGCTTTGCTCTTGCCGTGCATTGTTTTGTCATGCTTGCATTTTTTTTGCGTTGGTGATCGTTTCTGGTTCTCTCCTAAATGTGACTGTTTTTTGGCGTTGCAATTGTTTCACAGGGAGGAGAGCAAGAAGCCTGCACGTCGGATGTCCACCGGGTTTGTTCCTGTTGCTCGTTTCGATCCAAGTGCAGAAGCGGGGCAGCAGTTGGGGGTGTTTGATTCTTCGCTGAAGAATCCAAGTGTTGTTCGTGAGAAGCAGTCCAGTTCGTGCCTGGGAGCAGCGGAGGAGAAAGTGGGGAGGCAAAATGTAGATGATTCAAGGGGAAAGAGGGGGAGGTCTGTAGGAGAGCAGGTAAACAAGCCGTTGGAAGCGGAGGGCAAGCGTGCTAGAAAGCTAGAAGAACGTGCAGAGCGCCGAGTGAAAGTGTGGAGGGGAAGTGAAGATGAGGAGGATGAGCGTGAGGATGACGAGGGTGGGTCGGATGAGCTAGATTATGATGATAAGATTGACGACAGTGAGGCTGACATGCAGGAGCTCGAGGGTCTGAGTAGCTGGGAACGAGCTTTGGCTATGGCTGCGGGCACCAAGGAGATCTTGGGTAGTGCTGCGACTGTTGTGAGAGAGAAGCAGGTGAGGGATGATCCCGAAGGGCATGAGATGGATGTGTTGGGAAAAGAGTTTGAGAATGAATTGGCATCTCCCAAAAATGGAAAAGGAAGCCAATCACAGAAGCAATCACAAAGCGGGGGACTCGAACACTTTGGTAGCAATTCTGATGAGAAGAAGGTTTCTAAGCGTAAGACAATGGAAGAAAAGGGAGGGAAGAACTACAATAGGTTAAATGACAGAGGGGATGAGGGTGGGGGCCAGGATAACAATGCAGAGGCAAAAGAGGCAAAAGGTAGTCTGAAGGCATCTGGGTCAAAACACAAGGAGTCAGCAGTTAGTGACCATTGGACAGATGTGAAGAGGAAGGTTGAAGAGATTGAGGAAACTGAGGAGTGCGAGCAATTGCATGGATGCGTGAAGAAAGGCGGCGTGGTTGATGAAAAAGATCACGAACAGTGCAAGAAGAAGTCGAAAAAAGGGAAGGCCGACAGAGGCGGCAAAGTAGTCTCTGCCGGTGAGGAGGGTTGCCAGACAGAGGGGCTGGAGGTTGCAGCGAAGGATGGAGAAGGGGAGAGTGTTTTGCGTCACGCTGAGACAGGAGCTTGTCAGGAAGTTGGTTCAGGAGCAGAAGTGGATTTATTGGATGACGAAGGACGGAGGGACAAGAAGGGGAGGGAGAAAAAGAAGGACAAGAAAGCGAAATTCCATAGAGTGATCGACGGAATCGGGTCTGCAGAGGAGTGTGGTCATTCCGATGTTAATGAAGCCACGTTGTTGGGATCTGAAAAAGTGGAAGTGAACAAGCTAGACAATGTGCAAGAGGAAAGCAAAAAGTTTGTGGGATTAGAGGAGGGAACCGGGGGGGGAATGAGTGGCAATGACAAGAACAAGCATGCGAGTGGAACTGAAATGAAGAAAGAATCAGGGAAGATTGTGACACCGATCAGCGCTGTGGTGACGTCAGCATGGAAGTCCCTTGTGGATGCAGAGGGGCGGGCATCGTTCTCCCTCAGTGCAGTATTGGGAGGCCAGAAGCTAGTTGCTGGCAGGTCTAAGTCGTCCACTTCTCCCATTTCCTTGGGTACCGTAGGATGTAGCTCGGCAGGTTTGATGGAAAAGTCTGTCGGAGATGATCTGGTCAAAATGGGGATGAAAGAAACAAGCCAAGGTGCAGATCACGCTAAAGGTAGCAGAGGAAAAGACACAAAGAAAAGAGGCAAAGGTAAAGGTCAGGACAAAGCTGAGGGGGTTGTGACGGAGGTTGAAGATCGAGACCCATACGCAAGTCCCAGGAATGTCAGTGCGGGAAAGGAGGCGAAGTATGAAGGAGAGGAAAGAGCGGAGACTGCTCCAGGGATGGAGGTAGCAGACAAGTGTCAACCTGGGGAAGAAATGGGTCCGAAGCGGACGAATGACCAGAGAGCGAAAGGGAAGGAACGCAAGTGCGAGGGAAACGGAAAAGTAGGAGAGGGTAGCAGCACGGGCAAGGGGGCCGTGACGAACGTTGTCACAGTCAAATCGTCGTGGAACGCCCTTGTCGATGCAGATGGAAGGGCATCATTTTCCCTGGGAGCAATTCTTGCAGATCAAGGTCCTGCGGTCCGGAAGGAAGAGTTTGCGCAGGAGAGGCAGCAGTGGAAACCTAGGCAAGGGAGTGGCAGTATGTACGTCAAGGATGGGGTTGGGGTTGGAGTAGGAAGTACATCGGCACAAAGGTGTGGAGGCGAGCCTGGGCATAATAGGGATGCTGGCGGTGAGAAGCAGATGGACGAAAAGGTTAAGAATGGGGAAGAAGATGACGAAAGCAAGGCGATCTCAGATAAGAAGATAGGCTTACCGAATTCGACAGTTTGCTCGTTCATGAGGGCGCCGAATGCAGAAGAAGAATGGCTTGCTAGCAAAACGAAATTGCAGGAAGATTTTATGAAAAAACGCAAAGCTGCTGTGAAGTTCTCAAAGGCCATGACTGGCAAGTGGAGCAGCGAACGGGGATTTCGCTCATTGCGATAAAAAAGATATGTACATTGGAATGATGAGGGTTTTCTTTGTGCAAGGTCAAGTTGAATTAATTTTCTGAGAGTTGTCACAGCAGGCTTCTTTTGGGAGTGTGTTTCTGCATGGTCTGAGGTGAAAATGTGCATCAGTCAATTTTCTGGTTGTAGGTTTGGGGCTGATGGTTGTCTCAACTTCCCTCCAATGGACATGTTTCTACTCACATCCAAAAGTTTTTCTGTTTTCGTTTCCGTTATGGGAAGCAGCTCCATTATGTTGCGGAGAGGCACCTGACCTTCCCAGCCACCTTTAGGAGTAAATCTAAATGTCATTTTGTTGCCGTGAACAAAATTCATATGTGGTACTGTCCGAATCTCACTCAGCACACTGCCTTGTCAATGGGACAGTCGTCTGTTTTCCGTTTCTGTTCTGTGTCAGCTTTTTAAACCTTTATCTTTGTGTGCGTGTGTGTGTGTGGGTGGGTGGGTGGGTGGGTGGGCGGGTGTGATGTCCGGCATAGACAACTTCACAAGAAAGCATGACTGTGCCAGACTGTTTTGTCAGTCTTTTCATCGACTCATCAGGAGGGTGAACCGGGACAGTCTGCACAGGATGCATCTGATTGATGGATAAGGACACAACTCGTCTCCCAGAGTTAGCAATACCCCTGAGAAAAGTGGTTGGCTTTACTCGCACCAACCCTTGATTGTGTGTGTGTGTGTGTGTGTGTGTGTGTGAGAGAGAGAGAGAGAGAAACATGGTGTCCCGAGAGGTGTGTGTGTGATGCTAGCTTGTGGCAGCTAAAACATGGTGTCCCGAGAGGTATGTGAGGCTTTCATGTGGCAGCTGTCCCATTTGCTATGTCGAGTTTTTGCCATGGCCGTTGTTGTTCGTGTTTTCTGCTTGCTTACTTGTTTTTCGCCCCTCGTTCCATTGCTCAAGTGTTTGAGCATGATGGGCTTGTGTGCAAACAATTTGATGTTTTTGTATCCCCTGTAGAGTATTGTTGCGGACTCAGGCTTGTCCTGTACTGTGACAGGATCATGTCAAGCCACGTGTTGGAGATGGTGGCCTATGAAGCTTTTCGTGCCCACTGCATCTGTCCCAGGCAATGGGGGAAATTATCAGTTTGCTGGCTATGGATGAATGTCACTAGTTTATCAGCTATGAAGGAACATTTTTTGTTTTCATGAATTCATTAGCAAGCACATTGAGTTCGTTAGCAAGCAAGCAGTTAGCAGCCGAGGTCACAGGAAGAATTCTCTCTCTCTCTCTCTCTCTCTCTCTCTCTCTCTCTCTCTCTGCCCCGCTGGTGTCCTGGAGATTGGAAGCAATAAATGTGGTGGAGATGTCTCTCTCTCTCTCTCTCTCTCTCTCTCTCTCTCTCTCTCTCTCTCTCTCTCTCTCTCTCTCTCTCTCTCTCTCTCTCTCTNCTCTCTCTCTCTCTCTCTCTCTTTCTGTGTGTGTGTGTCCCCTGCTGGTGTCCTTGGATCAAGGAGATGGGAAGCAATTAATGTGGTGGAGATGTTCTTGTGACGGTTGTTCATCTCATCTTCTCTCTTGGTTCCATTGACTTGTTAGCCTCTGTGAATCTTGCTCCTTCGTTGGATAGGAGTCCGGGGGTTCGGTTGCAGGGCTGCCATGGGCAGGGGTGCGGGGGTCAAACCTTGGCTCAGCCCAAGGGGATCGGCTCCCGGGGATCTCCGGGTGACAAAACTGGATAGGACTCTTTGACTGTTTAACATTGTTTCTGTTTTCGTTTCATCATTATGCTGTGTTGATTATCCTGCTTTGGACTCGTAGACGCTTCCTTGTCTGACGATGTTTTTTTTTCGAGATTATATCATTGTAATTCAGAATGATCTGTTCCTCTGAGCTAGGCTACGCTACGGGGATCGGCTCCCGGGGATCTTAACAGTTCATGGGTGTTCCAGCTGAGCTAGGCCCGTCGTCACGGTTTTGTCTTGGTTAGCCTGCTCTACTGAATCTCCAGTTCTTTAGTCGGAGTCGTTCACTGTCTCTCCCACTGTGAATCTTCAGCTGAGTTCCGTCTGACCCTGTCTTAAGAAATGGTGACCGTATTTGGGGCAGCTTTCAGTCCCGATGCGGCCGTTACTGCACCACGTACGGAATTTGGAAAATGGTGACCGTATCTTGCGCGAGAGGAGCTGCGGATTTGCAATTTTTAGTCTTCATTGATTGGGCGTGTCCTCGGCATCGGTACAATATTCTCAACAAGTGTGGACGACTCTGTTATTGTTATTTGAATTTTGAACAGGTGATCGTTATTTCATCTTTTTTGAAGTTTTTTCTCATAACGTTTTTAATGATTTCTTAAATTCGTAGCCTAATGATGGGCCTAATTCGTTTGTTTTTTTTTGTAAAATTTGTTTTGGAATATTAGAGAAAGGTGTTTTTCCTTTCTTCTTCTTTTTTTTTTTGTTCTTTTTTTTTTTTTTGAAGGAAGCTGCCTTCTCCTCATATGGGGGCCAGCTGTACTTTTGCTACTCTATATTCTTCTCTCAATATTCTTTTTTCTGTCTCACACTACCAACCCCAAGCTTATGTATTTTACTATTTTTTGAATCAAGGGTCTTCCTACATCAGACAGAAGAACAGTCTTAAATGTACTAACAAAGACTAAGCTGTCCTAAAGGTATGTGTCTACACCTCCCTAGTAATGCTGTTCTGTGTGCAGAGCTGCTCTGTGTGCGGAGCATCACCCATGCTCCTAACACCTGGCGTGCGCTCCTATGACGTTTCCAGTTTGACGGCACATTTCGGAAATAGCCAAGCTAATAGGACCCTTGGTTTTGATAAATTGTTTTTCAAGTTAACCAGTGGGAATTCATTGTAAGCCTGTTTGTAGCAGCCTGAAATATTAGCAGATTATAAGGACGAACACATACATACATCCAGGGTAACCGGCGTTCGGGACGGGCCGAACGCCGAACCCGAACGCCCGAACGTATGGAACCCCTTGGGGATGCGTTCGGCCGTTCGGGCCGAACGCGGACCCAAAAAAAAAAAAGAAAAAAAAGGAGGCCATCAAAAATCTGAAAAAACGATATGTCATGGAGAAAAATAAGTGAAACAAGATTTGCCCGAGCATTACATCCGAATTCCTTACTAAATTTGAAAAAAAAAAAAAAATACAGAAAACAAATACTAATAATAAAAATAAATAAAAATAAAAATGGAATTAAATTTAGTGAGTGCGCGAGCATGTTTTCGACACCGCCATCTTTGGTGATTTTTCTTTTTTTTTTGGCATAGCTAAATGCCCTGAAATTTTACAGATGTGTACTTCACATAATACAAAACCCACTAAAAACGTTTCAAAAAATAATAAAATTGTTTAGACCCCGAACTAAAGTGAAAACAAGAAGTAAAAAGTGAAAAAATACGTGGGTGAGCACGTTTTGACACCGCCGTCTCTGGCGATTTTTAATTCTTATCTGGCTCAGCCAAATGACTTGAAAATTTACAGACATGTACCTCACGTCATAGAGAACTCACAAAAAAAATTCAGAAAAAAAATATTATTTTTAGACCCCGAAGTATTTTTTGGCGGGGGCCGAACGCCGTTGGGTTCGGACCTCGTACGGGACCCCGAACGCCCGTACGTAGGGAGGTTTGCCAGGGGACCTCCGTACGTACGGGCTGGTGACCCTGCATACATGAATATTATGACAAAAAAAGTTGAGATGAGAAAAAAATTAGGCCATAGAGGAGGAAGCTTGCGTTCCCCTCTAAAACTATTAAATTTACTATCATGTTTTTTTTAATATATGTTATATATTTTGTGGTTCTCTTATCTATGAATAAGATTTAACTAACAATAAGGGGTTTGATAGCAATGCATGTCACCAAAGGGAGATGAAATAAAAAATGTTGAGCTAGTGGAAAAATATTAGCCCTCCCCCTTAACACCCTTCCCCCTCCCACGATTATTTAATTTAGTTTCTTAAAAAAAAATTATTATACTTATGTCACTTCTGCAAGGAAAATGAGCGATAGCGAACTTCAGAAACCAAGCAGCATCATACACAAGAGACCAGATAGTTGTGACCTCGAACCAAAAGCAAAATTGCATCACGAGTCCCACCAAATAATAGTACAGCAAAAGGTCATGAGTGACAATGTTAGAGTATTCTCATCATCATCATCAACAAAGAACCTATATCTACATCCTATCTGGCGCTCGGCGCCCAGACTACAAATGGCAGATCCTATTTAGCCTATCTACAATGTCGTTGGTGACGTCAACAGCTCCCCGAAGTACGAGCAGATCTCGGCCAATGCTGTACGCTTCAAGCATCAGGTGTGTCTCTCGTATCACTCACAACCTCGTTCCCCAACTCACAGCAGCGCATTTCAGCTATGGCTGCGAGCTCTTTCCAGCTCGCCCGTGAGCGCGTGAGCACTGGACAACGTTAGCGCACCAGCGCTTGCGCAGCATGCAGCCAGTGTCTGAACGCCGAATGCATGAGCAAGCACACTCCGAAATGGAATTGGCCTTCCTGCTTGCGTGCAGCCTAGCTGCGCGCTGGGCCACTGCCAAAAAACTTTCGGTAGGCCCAGAGAGGTTGAGCCCAGTCCAAACGAGACAGGCCCAGGCCCTGAGATGGTTACTCGACCCCAAGTGCCTTCGCCCTGTGTTCGGTCCGAATTGCGTTTCTGGCCCAGGTCGTGCCTTAGTTACATTCAATAAGGGCAGCCTGGGCCTGGGCGCTCTCAACCAAGTCGCGTTGCACAACTAACTGAATTTCCCCAGTTGCGTGGTGACCCGAAATAAGGCCTGTAGGCCTTGGTTGAGCCCGCCTTCACGTAGGGTGGACGACTGTGCTGAAAATAGGGCCCAGTAGGGTGTGTCAAGACCTTGTGTCTCGAACTTATATGCGTGTTTGGTATATGGTGGATTTGTCATGGTTGCATTGGAGGTTTTCATAATTTTTTATCAAGGGTTTTCATAGTAGTTGTGAGAGATGTAACTGATGATACATGCTTTGCTCATTGCCTATCACAATTGATGTTCATTCCTCCTCCCTAAATTGTTTTATTTCACATTATGTGTTTTTTCTGTTTAATTTGTATCTGTTGTGAAAGAGAGATGTCATAAGAAAATGTTCTATGATCGTATGTATTCAATTTGAGGTATACTTGCAAGGAAGGAAGTAGGTAAGTTAGCCATAGAAGGAACTAGGGTATACCTGCGTATTTAAAGTGTTTTTTGTGTGTTTTACGAATTGATACGTATTATATGTTCTAACAAAGGAAGATTGTATGAGAAAATTTTACTATGACATGTACTCCTCCTATCTCCTAACTTTTATAGCTTGTGTTGTTTGTGTTTTTTTTTTTTAATTAATCCTTTTGGCAAAGAAAATGACATGAGAAGGCATTGTTGTAGTATGAGAGAGGTTTCGCCCCCTTCCATATTGTGCTTCGTACCTTTTTACTTTCTAAATAATAATCCCCTTGCCAAATGACGTGCCACAATATTATGGCTCCCTTGCCCGCTTAATTATTCAATTCACCATTATGTTTCTTCCTTGTTAAATGCCTATGTGAAAGCGAATGCAATTGCACCAACAAATCCATACGACATATATGATTATACAATTTTTTTATATTTTGTATTGATGGTAAACATTACTAAACACAATTATGTTTGAACCGCAAGAACATTATTTTTGTTCTCGTTGGTACAAATAGACTTGCATCGTTTTCATTCGGTGGGCTAGGCATGCGAAGGAAGAATTAGTTCGTTAAACAACACTAGGAAGTGGTGGTTTAACGAGCACAGGTTCAAAGTATGTCCACACAGTGTGTGTGTGTGTGTGTGTGTGTGTGTGTGTGTGTGTGTGTGTGTGT